AAGATTCATATCAAGCTATCATGTGACTGTCTAGGAATTAGGATTACCTGATGATTTGAGTACAGAAGCGATTGGTAACCAAAGGAAAATAATAATTTGAGCAGAAAAGCGATTGATAACCAAAGAAAAATAATAAAATAAAAATAAATAAAACAATAAAATTTTGAAGTAAGAAGAGAATAGTAGAGGAGAAAAGGAGAATTGCTTAGGGTTAGAAGTGATTTGGTTTGGTTAGACTAGGCCTTTATATATAATTGGAGTTCTGGGCTCAGATATGGTCTGGGCTTCGTACAATTATTTTCTTTTTCTTTTTAATTTTCTTATAGCTCAAAATATTGTTGACTCATCATATCTAATCAAATAAAGATTATTAACTCATCCTAATCCAATCAGATTACCAATCAAACATTAATGCATAAATGATTAATCAATTAATCACAGTTTATCATTAGTCCTAATAATATATATATATATATATATATACATATATATATATTATTACTACTAATTTATAATTTATTATTATTATTAATTTATTGTTATTATAAATTACTATTATTTTTCTGGGATATTACACCCACAATAGTATCCTGTACCTGAAATACAGCAAAGTCCATTCCAAACATAATGCAGAAGATGGCTCCGTGCCATTTCTGTCAACATCTCAACATAATAAAAACATGAACATATCCATGTATCCATATCAAAATACCCATCACTTATAGATATGTCTCTCCAACATATCAACACATCTATCAGATCCAAAAAAATATAATATACAAGTACATGTTCTTACATCATGCTACCAAAGTATATACAATCATCCTCAAAAAGATAACAAAAATAAAAGATATACGTCTATACATCAGATACTTGTCCTAGCACTCTGGTCCGAAACACTCCCTTGTCCTTTGCAGAATCTTCTACTGCTGATGAAGCAGCTGAAATGTAAGTCCCCAGACGGGGTGAGATTCAACTATCTCAGTAAACTCAAGGTTTGTGGAGAAGTCTCCACCCATGAGTTCATTTCTTGCATGTAAATTCAGATAACACAATATAGTCTACAATATCATAAAGTTCACAACATGCATATAACATCTAATAAGAATTTATAACAACATGTGGGAGCTTAAGTCTTCCCACGGATAATTTCATACATAACCTTTGCATATCTATAAACATAATTCATATAAGACATCCGGGAGCCTAAAATCCTTCCTCGGGTCGCCCGTACATAAACTCCTAGAACAAAAGTCCTTACGGAGCTAAACATAACTAACATATCTTACTTAGCTTAACTTTACATATCAAACTTAACATGTCTTTACTAAATATAAATATCTGAATAATCTTAACATAACCAAATAATAAAGAACGCATCAACTGCGTACAACTTACAACATCACTTTCAACTTAACAAAACATAACCCATTTTAACTTACCAACTAACTTAATAATACCGAACATAATAGCATAACTAAACTTAGCCGCATCAACTTAACATAATCAATACATTATAACCTAGTGGACATAACCTACATAACTTAACATAACCTATAATAACCAATTATAATATGGCATATCCTAATACATCTTTTACGACAGATTCTAGCAAACCCTTACATAATTTAACAGATCATATCAGATTAGAACATACCTGTATAAAAAATAAACAAAAACTTATTTATTATAATCTCATTTCATACAAATATGAAAGTAATTTATTATCGTTTAATAAACCATAATAATCTCATTTGAAGTTTTTGTGTGTGATAAATATAATTTTTTTAATAATTTTATACATATCTAGCCATACTCGTACCCAAACTTAATTTTTTTTGGGAATTTCATATCCCTGTGTAATATCTAGCCAAGCTCAGAATCAGATGAGTTAGAAGACTCGTCACTGAGCTCGATTGGGTGAATCGGATCCCCTAATGAAAGAGATCCCGGAACTGAGGCAGGGTCACTAAGCTCGACGGCTAAAATCCAGACCTGGCCTTTGCGGTGCTCATGCTTTAGTTCGGGATGCTTATGCTTATGCTTTATTTAAAATAAACAATGTTATATAAATTAAGAGATTATTATATTTTATGTCTATATTCTTTTCAATATTTGGGAATATATTAAACTTTGTCTTTTATTTTTATTTTTTTCGATAAACATGAAACTTTGTCTTATTTGAGAAAGAACGGTAGAGAAGGTAATTTAAATTGTGTGTAAATTATTGTTGAATAAAATGAAGTTTTTTTTTATCAAATCATCTAATTCAAGTAGGGGTGTTCGCGGTTTGGATTGGATCGATTTTGGAAGCAAAAATCATCCGATCCAATCCATTCGATTTGATCATGTAATAATCCATTCAGTTTGGATTTTTTTCAAATCCGATCCGATCCAATCAGATTTTTTTTTTGGATTGGGTCGGTTTTCGGTTTTTTGAAAATCTTAAAATTTGTTTCATTATTATTCTGCAAATAACATCTTTTGTATATATTGACTTTGTAATTTTATTTTTTTTGAAATACAAAAGCATTAGGAAACGATAATATAATTTTTTTTTTACAATGAGATATGAAGCTCTTCATAGATGAAATTTTGTTGATGAGATGTAACTAAGTTTTTTCTTAGGTTTAGTTGATGGGTTAATGGGTCTTGGGTTTAGAAATTTTGGGTTATGATTGGGGAAAGACCTAAGTAGGTAGAGGGGAATTTGTATATTGGGTCAGTTTGGATTGGATCAGTTTTCATTAACCAATCCGAAATCCGATCTAATCCAATTAAAATTTGCGGTTTTTTTTCGGTTTTCGGTTTTTCAATTTTCGATTATCAGTTTTTTGGTTCGGTCACCGCGGTTTGAATCGATTTGGATTGGTTGATGAACCCCCCTAAATTCAGGTATAAGATAAATTTAATAACCATTATATTATTATTGAATAAAATGAATAAATTGTGTAAGTTTTTTATCAAAAGGACTAGTGGGGGAGTTATAATGAAAATGGGTAGAAAGAAGATACAAAATAAATAAACAAAAAATAAAGGGTAGAAGAAAAAAAAGAATGAGGATAAAGACATAGCCCAAACTAGGGTTGGCAAAACGGGCCAACCCGGCTCGACACGGCCCAACCCGCATTCAACCCGAAAAAAATGGGTCGGGTTAAGGTTGGCTCGAAAAAAAAAATAGCCAGAAAACTCAACCCAGCCCGACCCGAGCCGGGTTAGGGTTGGCTCGCGGGTTGGCTTGATAATCAGCTCGTGGGTTGGCTCGGAAAAAAGCTCGTGGGTTGGTTCAAAAAAAGCTCACGGGTTAGCTCAAAATGATGCCAGTGGGCTGGCTCAAGAGTTGGTTAGCTCGAAATATTGCCAGTGGGTTAGCTCGCGAGTTGGCTCAAAAAAATTGATTTTTGTGGAACTAATCTTATTTGTTTTTCAACACTGCACAAAATTATCAACACTGCCAAAGCTCGATTTTAAGGAGGATATGATAGATCTTCTAGAATGTGCTAGAAGTGACAGATCAAACATCAAAACTTGATTTTGACAAACCTTCATTAGAAGGGTTTTCACCCGATCATATGCTTCTCTAAGAAGTTTCACAACCTGCAGAACAAGTAAAGAAATTGAAATCCAAAACAGATTTTTAACTTTTCTAAAAGGGGAAATAACATAACCCGAACATGAATATCCATTAACCAAACGATATAAAGGATATAGGTTCAAAGCACTTGCTTCTCAGCTTCTGCATCAATACTTGACTTCATTACAGAACTTGGCAGCTCCTTGATATGAACTGGCCCCATTATATCACTCATCCCATAATTTGATACCTTGTGCATAAACTAAAAAAAATGCAATGGATTTTTAAGCTCATTTTAAAATGAAAAGACAGGTCCAGGATTGAGCAGAACTTTTTAGTTACTAATTTTAGTTAAGAAGAAAGTTCTAAGTATTTTGTTACCATTCCGACATACACTTCTTGTGCATCAATACTATACGTTGTCACTAGCTACCTTAATTTCAATAGAAGTAACTATCAGAAAATTCTTTTAAGCTAATTATACACACACACAAAGTTACAAGACCCTAGGATTATGAATTTATGAAAATGAATAGATTTGTCACCAACGACATACACTATTTCACAAAGTTATCCATATATGCATTCTATTCTATCATAGCCATGTACACAATTTCAAAATCAACATCAACTAGAGAGAGCACTCATAAGTAGTATATAAATCAAAATTAAGTTATGAATCTAAACATGAGTTCAGAGACAAAACCGAATATCTTTCAAATAAAATAACCCAGATAAAGAGCTTAGAAGTTAGGACCAATGTTTGGTGTTTTTTCCCCTTTCCCCTGCGAATCTAGGACCAATGCATCGATGGTAGTGAAAGAACATGGTAGTGAAAGGTCGTTTACCTGAGCAAAGGAAAAAAAAGGGATGGGAACGATGAAAGAAAAGAAAGTGACGACTGATGAAAGAAAGTGAGAAGTGAGAACGATGGCGTTGATGGGTACGGCTAGGGCAATTTTTGATATTGCTTTTTTTAAAAAAAAAAAACAAAAACCAACCCAACCCGCGAGCTTGCTTGTTTGACTCGCGAGCTGGCTCGTTTTTGTCCGGGTTGGCGCGGGTCGGGTTGGCTCGGGTTCGTAGCTCATTTAGGCCAACCCAACCCGGCTCATTTATGGCGGGTTGGCTCATTTTTGCCACCCCTAACCCAAACGGGCACGTAAATAGAGTGATGTATCAACTATGCCTATGAGTATCGGAGGAAAGAAAAAATAAAAAATAATATAAAGATGACAAAAATAAGTCAATTCGTCATATTCATAATTCGCAAAAAATAGTCGGGTTAAATTGACAAAAATGAGTTGTCAACCCAATATAACACAAAGAAAATCGAATAGATCAAACAGGTTGACTCCGGATTACCAATTTTTTATATTAAAAAATTAAAAGAAAAATTGAAAGGAAGCATTAAAATCAGAACTGGCCTTCCAATTTCCTAAACGGCTAAACCAAAACTAAAGTCCCAAGCGTATTCCAATTTCCACCACCTCGCTGCTGCTGTTTCAACCACCGACGTCGTGGTCGCAACTGTCGTCGCCGCCGATGGTGCATCGTTCCGGTGTGAGTTCCCAATCTAATTCCCTTTTACGATCCTTTACCTTTTCGGTGTGGAGGAGTTGCGGTGCTGGTTTCTGCTACTGCTACCACATTTTGGTACCTTTCGAATACAATTTCTTGTCGAATTCCCCAATTTCATCATTCATCCATTGATCTGTGATTTTGTAATTCTTTTTTTCCGTTTTGGATCTTTCAGGATTTCGATAAGGTTTGGCCGATTTTTGATTCCGCACAATCGCGTGATTTTCGAAAGGTATCAATTTTATTTATTTATTTATTTTTGGGTATAAATTTGAGTGAAAATTTGTAGGAATGATTTTGAATAGTGGTGGAACGTGTTTGGTAGGTTGTGCTTCCCAGGAGCAATTCAAGAGTTTCTTCACTTGCTACGTGTTGTGGACCTAGATTGGTATACTCACATGTAATTGATTACTCAAAGTTTAGTTTATTTGTGCTTTTGTATGTAGTTTATTCTCTGGATTCCCGGGAGCAATTCAAGAGTTTCTTCACTTGCTATGTGTATGTAGTTGTTTTTTTTTTAATGCCTAACCTTACCATGTACATATTCCCAACATCAACCTTTGAAATGACTGTTTCAATTTTTTCTCCATTCTTTGCTCTTCTTGTGTAACTTTTCCAAAATATATAATTATTACCAGTGCGCAATAAAACAAAGAGGAAAGGGTCATGTTACCATTTTTATGTAGTTTGTTCTCTTGATTATGGTACCTTATCCCACGATGCTGAAGTCTGAACCCACATCACCTCTCATGTGACCGCTCTTTTCTCTTTCTCATGACCCACAACAGTGCAAGCTTCATTGTACATTTGCGATACATATCCTCCTTGCTGTGATAAACATGTCACCGTTGATAAAATAAGACACAGGAATTTGTATAATTACAGCTATATTTGTTGGCCTCTTTCGCAATCATCTAATCCCTACACAGTCAGCTATTACGTTTTGTATATAGCCCATCAAACTTGTCATTGAGATAGCACTTCCCATAACTTGGTTTAATTGTGCATAATGATTGTTAAATCAGCATAATGCCAAAGAAATATCACACACTTCCATAAGGTAGTATCATACTGTTTACTGATTACTGTTTACACAGAAATAACAAGTGAAAATGAATCCACCTTGTTAAGTTAATCAACCATTCAGCATTGGTTATAATTACAAGTGCTATAATTAGCGGTATCTCTAGATCACAATCTAAAATTGAACGTTGGTTGAGAAAAAAAGATAAATAAAGGGGACACATTACTTCAACTTTAAATTAATGGTTGAGTGGAGGGGTGGGAAAAGGATTTGGTACTCAGAATAAGTGCTTCTTTAAAAAGCTAATTTTGATTAGGTGGGATTTGGTGCTCTTCTTGTGCTTTTGTATGTAGTTTGTTCTCTTGATGCCCATGAGTGGATGAAGCCTGAGGGGAAAAAAAAGAAAGAGTTTACTTTTAGCGGTTTGCGTTTTTAAATTATTATTAATTGTTGCATTGTTAGTGGCAGGAGAGGAAGTGGTTTATTTTATATTATTTTTCATTTGGGTTCATGACCCTGGTGGTTTTGATCTATCGTCGTGCTTTTTTTTTTTTTTTTGGACATTACAGGGAATCGAACCGCACACCTAATACACCCTAAACACACCCAATACCACTAGGCTATCCCTAGTGGTGCTATCGTCGTGCTTTTATATAATATATATATATATATATATATAATATATATATATATATATATATATATATATATTCAAGAAGGAATACAAAAATAAAGCAAAGTTATTTGTTCCCTAGATACAGAAGCTGCATGATGTTTTGTGTCTGCAATATATTCTTAATAGCCCATGCCTTAATTGTTTATTTTTCCTCTTAAATGGTATTTTGACTGATGAATATATTTTCTCCAATAAATGGAAATTTTGATAAAGAATTATCACTACTCATAACTTTAGACTATTTATACAAAAAAAAATAAGTAGGGATCCAAACTATTGCTGATCTCTGACGCCCTTTAAATCCTGTGATTAAATCTGATTTCAAGAATCATATATATGTCTAGAGCTAATACAGGCAAGCCAATTGGATTATTAGTGTGTACTATCTTTGGTGCTCCACCTATGGTATCTTTTAAGGAGCTTTATTGCACCGATGAGCATAAATGCCTTCAAACGAAACGTATTTTAAGAACAAAATGCAAAATAGAATAACCTATAATTTATTTTCTTTTCCTAGAAAATATTTTTTGGCCAGTGTGCTACTTGTAAGAATCCGCACCGTTAATTAAGGAAATTAATTAATTAATTATGTGAAATTAGGAAATAATTCCATAATTGACTGTAATAATTATTACGAGGCTCTAATAATTATAATAAGAGAGTAATAATGCTGAAAGTCGCTTTTCTGACGAAAAGTGCAGATACCGGTTCTGCTACTCGGTATAAATGCGTACCGATGAAGTATCCCGGAAAATTATGAAAAGTGTGTATATGTCACTAGAATAATATATAGGACTTGTAAAACAAGTTTCAAGTTAAAATAATGAGAACTGGTGCCAGAACTAATACTGGCTAGAGAAAAGCGCGTACCGAAAAGGTGCTGCAAAAAATAAAATAAAAATATGATAAATCTTAAAAAAATGAGTAGGTTCAGAATCCTAAGTTTGAGATTAAAATGCTAAGCATAGCAATTAATGCTGATACTGTGTGTTTAAGTTTAATCCGCCTATAAATAGGCATGGCACATTAACCTAGACTGATCCTATCAGTTTTCTACGTAGCCTTGCGCCTCCAAAGTCTGTGTTGGTGCTCTCCAAGCCTTCTACCACCATTTTCTCCCAAAAACTCCTCAAAGTGAGCAACTTTCTTCTAGTTCTCTTCATCTACCTTGATTGAGTGTAGGAGAGGCTTGAGTGGGAGTGTGACCCTTGGTTGCTGTGTGGGTTGCTGTTTGTGAGAGTTGGAGGGCTGTCACCTTGGTTGGGTGTTGTGGGAGCTTTGTTCTAGCATTTTGAGCTCCAAAGAGTGACTTTGAGTGTGAAAGAGACCACATTTGATCACTATTTTCGTGGTTGAAGGAAGTCAAAACTGAGGAACTATATTGTGAGCTCCAAGAGCAACCTTTTTCTGAGTTTTGGTGCTTGGGGTAAGTATTGAACCTTGATCATGAGTTCTTATGGTTAAAAGAGGTGTCTTGGCATGTTTAATGAGTTAATCAAGTAACCAACTGATATATGAACTTAAAAGAGGTTAAAAATGCATGCTTGGACGTGGGAATGGGTTAAAAACCCAACCTTTGGAAGGATATCTCGCGAAATACAGAACTGCATTCTGTCGCGAAATATCCGGATATGAATATCCGGATATGATATCCGGATAAGGGGATCTGAATATCCGGATAATGATATCCGGATATTGGAAGAGTGATATATGGATATTGATATCCGGATATGCCCCCGACAAATATCCGGATATTCTGGGTTTTCGAAGAACAGTAGCTGCACTGTTCATACAGAAGGCTATTGGGGGTTGGTGAACCCTAGATTGATGAAGTTGAACTTCTGTAATAATTAAACTAAGTCAGAATCAAGTGATTAAAGGCTTGAGGCTTTATGAGGAGCCTAAAGATGTAAAACGTAAAAGAGAAGCGTTGTCTTTATGTTTATGCTTATGAGCTATGTTTATTGATATGATTGTTGGTTCAAATCAGATTGTGATTCTGCTGTATTTGGACTTTGAGATTGGTTGGACTCTTGGCTTGGATTGTTAGCTTGCAAGGTAAGCTTTCGTGTCCTCGGTTTAGCCATTGTTGGTTTCACCATGTCCCATGGGGGTATGGTTATATCATGATGTTGTTTTCATGATATATTGATTTGTTGAAATGTTGTTGAGCTGTTATATGCGAGTGCCTTTATGATATGCATGTGGTGTTCCACCTATACGGTAAGCCTGAGTATGTGGTACATATAAGAGGGTGAGGCTGTGGGTGAGGTGCAAGCGATGTTCCTTGTACTAACTGTAGGTAATAGATGTATTCCTGCATTTCTCTGGCCAGTAGAATAGTTAAAACACACATGGCATGAATATCTGTTGCACTGCATAGTTTTGGAACTTATTGTTGGACGTTTAGCAAGTGCACTAGTCGTACAAGTAATAAAATGATGAGTAAAGATCGTTCCCACGAGGAATTGTGTTCAAGCACCAATAAACCAAAGAAAACTAATTTGAATCAGATAAGAATTTGTAAAAGTCATGAATAATTTGTCACCAGAAAATTGATTGTAAGTAATTTGACACAAAATAAATATGGATTAATAATTAATAAAACAACAAGTAGTCAGAAAACAACTTTCCTCCATAATAACTCATGTAAAAACTGATCATATGATGAATTCTTTTTCATGTGATGTTAATCAACCTTTTACTTATCATCAAGATGTAATCCCTTACTATCCTGATAGATACATTAATCAGAAACCCCAATCCCTTGGTGATCTCTTTCTTAATACATGCATGACATACTAAAGTCTTAAGATTACATCAGAACTCTAGCATCAATCCCTTGAGTACTAGAATTCTGATGTTGAGATTATCAGATACAGAAGTCATATAAACATCCCTGTTCTACACTACTTCCTTGGTAGAAATAATTAAATCAGAAAATCCCAAATCAACATATGAAAAATACTTCATCATATTAATCAGATCAACATAATATTATCATGGAGTTCTATTGCATTCAGACTACAAAGACTCTACTCAGACATGACTAAGGAATAGATAAGAGAAGAAGAATCAAACTTCATTTCCATGTTGAAAGTCTTCAATCTCCAAACTATTACAAGAGAATTTAGAGAGAAGTCAGACTAAAGTTTAAGAGAGAGAGAATATATCAGATCTCTTCAGATCCAGATCCTTTCTAAATGTGAAGGCTTTGCCTTTTATAGTGTTACAATTAAAAACAGAAAACTGATGTGGGCGCTAAAACGTCCATAAGTGCCCGTTTTAGCGTCCATGCTTTACGTATGCTCAACTGCTTTTAACTGACTCCAACGCTAAAACGTTAAGGAATGACCGTTTTAGCGTCCAAACTTGGTGAATGCTCAACTGACTTTAACTGACTCCAACGCTAAAACGTTAAGGAATGACCGTTTTAGCGTCCAAACTTGGTGAATGCTCAACTGACTTTAACTGACTCCAACGCTAAAACCCTTGATTTGGACGTTTTAACGGTGGAGACCAGAGTCCTTTTTCCACTTCAGGGTGCTAAAACGCTTATTGCAGAACGTTTTAGCGCCCAAGACCAGCAATTTTCCATCTTCTAAGTGCAGCAGTGCGCTAAAACGCTCTGTGTGGGCGTTTTAGCGCTCATCACCAGCAAGTTTTGGCCTCTTCCTGTAGCAGGGCGCTAAAACGCTCAGTGTGGACATTTTAGCGTTCAACACTTAGGCAATTTTTCTCCTCTTGAGCTCCAGAATCTTCTTCCTTCTCCAGTTGTCTTTCAAGCTTGCTTTTCCTACAAGAATCATACAAATTTCCAATAAAGCTCTTGAACTTGTAATAGAGGACATCTTAGGACAT